TAAACCAATGCAGGGGGATCTTAGAGGGTACACAAATAACGGTTTGGGTGACATTCCGAAATGCTCTTAATATAGCACATATGTTGTACTCTGCTTTTTATTTTTAATATCTATTTTTAAGTGTCGACTGATACTAAAAGATATTTTTGAAATCATTTATCGTAACTATAAGCTTTTCTTAGCATGTTATTACAACATTGTTAAAAAAAAAATAATCTGTGATTCGTCTTACAAATTGGGATTGGACTATTCTTAAATGTCGATACGCTTTCTAAACAAAATAAATTATCGTAACATTTTATCCCAGAATTTTTTTTTTTTTTTTTGAATTTTTTTTTAAATATTTTTCATGAAAATTTTTATTATCTATACGTAGAATTTTTTTTAATAAAATAAACATCTCTTGAGTTTGCTTTATTTTGGGAGGATTTGCTTTTTGTCGTTTACAAATAACCGGACATCAAAATAGTTGAGTAACTAGCTATAAATATTAATTCACTAGACGAAAAATCGATCATTTTACGCGAAAAAGAAACTATGAGTTCAGCAACCTCGTCGACATCACTGTCTTCTATACACCCTCAAACAACTATTGAGAACGAGAGTCATCTTGGTTGTGAGAAAAGTGGAGGTTTTTTTGATAGCACCTTAAAAATGACGGGTTATCGTAAAAGGAGGTTATCAAAAATTCCAGCGCCGGTTATCATTCCACCTCCTTCACCTATAGTTACAGCACCTTCACCAGTCAGTCCAGCAATTAGTGATTCTTTCTTGGAACTACCGTCTCCAAAGACACCCCAGAGTCCTACGAAGAGATTTGTTCTTAAACCTATTACTGCCTTGACTGCCGCCTTCCAGAGAACGTCTATTACCGGGCGCAATAGGTCAACCTCATTACTGAGATTAACAAAATCATCGAACAATTCACCGAAATCACCTAAATTTGGTTCCCCGAAGGCATCTCCACAGTCCCCGAAGCCTCCAAAATCTCCAAAATTGGTACATCGCAAAGGGAGTAATGGATCGATTCGTAAGCGTTCCGAGAGCCCTACCAGTTCCGCCGTGAACATTGCGAACGCTGTATCTTTACTTTCTGTGACCAACACACAATTACCAACAAATAATTCAAAGTCCTCTTTTTTTGGAAAACCTTCATTTTCATTATCAATTAATACCTCCTCACAAACGACTACTACAAAATCCGCTTCGAAGCTGGTAAAACTTAGACCCCCCAAATCCCCTTCTTCATGTAGAAAGGCTCTTCCAATTACGCCTGCTGAATTAGCAGAAAAATTGCGTGAAGTTCCATCAAATAATTCTAAAGTAGATGATGAACATCCGCTCCATCTTGATGAAAATAGTAACTATATGTTTAAACCTTTGCATTCAAATAAGGTTCCCAAACCTGTTCTCATTGATGTTCGCAATTTGGCATTGTACCAGGATGAACACATTTGTGAGTCATTCAATGTAAATTTGCCAACCTTACTTATAAAACGGTATCGTCGCGGAACAATGAGCAAATT